CCCTGGAGATGTCTGAGGACTCCCTTGTGTATCCAGCCAGGGTTGCCAGTGTCAGGCTTCACGGACTGGGAAGACACACATGTGCCTGAGCTTCCGAGGGGGTCTGACAGTGTGGAGCTGCAATCAGCTTACTCAGCGGGGATGAAGGGAACGAGGAGGTTAGGATGAAGGGCTCCAGCAGCCCGTGAGAAGCTGAAGTAAATGCCCACGGATTCTGACGGAGGATGAATGTGGCAAGTGTGAGAAGACCTTCCCGAGTGAGAGTAAATGCACGAACAGAAATTGGATCCACGAGCAGGCAGCTTGTCTGCACATTGATAAAGAACAGCAATTTCTATAATTACATAGCGCCGTTATCTTACATATGATGATGTTTTGGAAATCATTTTTGCAAAGGCAGGAGCCATTCCAATGCTCCCAGCCTCTTCCTAAGTTTTTTTATTTTTCCGAAATGCTGAGTTGTCCAGCTCAGAGACCCCCGAAGGTTCGTGTTGGGTCCCCCGTTCCTCAATTTCCATGACCAAACCTAGCTGCAGACTCAGCAGGAGGGTGCTCTGAAATACATACCTCTACTCCAATGATAAACGGGAAACACAGAAATCGCCAGGGGAGAAACAGAGATAGAAGGGGAACCTATAGATTAAAGGCTTATTTCAACCAATTGCAATATATGAATCTTACTTGGATCCTGATTCTTAGAACACAAACTATGACAAAAAATATGACATTTATGAGATAGTTAGAAATTTGAACCGACTGGATATAACTGAGGAATTATTAATTTTTTAGATGTGATAATAGTATTGTGGTTATAGTGTATATGTAAAAGACCCCTTATCTTTTAGAGATACACACACTGAGATACAGATGAAATGATAAGATCCCTTGGATTTGTTTCAAAATGACATGGGGCAGAGCTTCGAGTTATCTGCAGAAGGCACAGGATTGGCCATGGATTGTGGTCATGGGACTGAAGGGTCATGGGCTTCATTATACTACCCTATCTACTACTGTAAATGTTTGAGATTCTCCATTGCAAAACTGAAAAAAGATATTTTTGTGAAAAGCAGGTGGATAGGCTCTAATATGACAACATCCCACTAGGAAAAAAGTTACCTGCCTTTTATTTTATTATTTTTATTATTTATTTATTTAGGGACGCCTGGGTGGCTCAGTCGTTAAGCATCTGCCTTCGGCTCAGGTCATGATCCCAGAGTCCTGGGATCGAGCCCAGCATCGGGTTCCCCGCTCCACGGGAGGCCTGCTTCTCCCTCTCCCACTCCCCCTGCCTGTGTTCCCTCTCTCGCTGTGTCTCTCTCTGTCAAATAAATGAATAAAATCTTTTAAAAAAAGAGAGATTTATTTTAGAGAGAGAGAAGGGGCAGAGGGAGAGAGAGCTTCTCAAGCAGACTCCCTGCTGAGTGTAGAGCCAAAGTGGGGCTGGATCCCACAACCTATGAGATCATGACCCGAGCCGAAATCACAAGTTGGATGCTTAATCGACTGAGCACCCCGGTGCCCCCTTACCTGCCTTTTAAATTATCTCTCCACCTTTCTCCACTCAAGGAGCAAGGCCCTTTGATTGGGCCAGTCTGTCTTCAATATTGTCTAGTGCTTGATCATATTCCGGTTGAATGGGGAGAGCAGGCCTTTGGCAGGACGCAGTGTCTATTTGTAACTTGATGGCATCCCTTTGTTTCATTGTATTTATTTTTTGGCTACTTCTATTTTGCAACTGATATTGATTTTCTCTTTACAGAAGTGACAAAGTTTTATTCTTAAATACACGTATGTAAACAATCTGATTTAAAGACAAATAGTACAGGGGTGCCTGGTGGCTCATTGGGCTGTGTCCAACTCTTGATCCCAGCTCAAGTCTTGATCTCAGGAGCATAAATTCGGGCCCTACATTGGGCCCCGTGCTGGGTGTGGAGCCTACTTAAAAAAAAACAAAAAACAAAAAACAAATAGTACAGGTGGTACTCAGATATCATAGGATTTTTTTCAGGGTGGGGGGAAATGACAGAAGTGTGGGAGGCACTGATACCAGTTACAGGAAACATTTCTTTATTTACCACATCTAACACAAATCTGAGGTCCCTTCCATCCCAGAGAGTCTCTGTGCCTGGAGGAAGATGGTCTGCTCAGGCCCACCGTCTCCTTGAATTTCAGATAAAGCACTTGACACAGAGAAGGGGGCCAATGGCAGGAGTGGAATCAGATCACACAGAGAAGGCTGGCTGCCAGAATGGGCCCAGACACCAACCATTACTAGGTTCAGAATCAACTAAAACAAAGGAGGAGGGACGAAGGGGAAAATGTTTTATCCATCATTTTGTTGTTTCCCATTGGTTGTTTTCTGCTGGGGGAAATTTCCTGACTGTCTTGAGTGAAGCATACAAGGGGGTCAGCAAACTATGTCTTCCCAGAGTCTTTTTTTTTAAAAAAAGATTTTATTTATTTGAAAGAGAGAGAGAGGGCTCACAAGAGGGGGGCAGGGGCAGGGTGAGAAGGAGAAGGAGATGCCCACCAATGGTAATGTGTTGCAAAACCGGAGGATAATACTGCAACCAGAAAGCTGACATGGATACAGTCAAGATATAGAACATTTCCATCACCACAAGCGTTCCCCCCGTTGACCGTCTATAGTCACATCACATGCAGGCCCACTTGGCCAGACCCTCACCCTTGGCAATCAGCCAGCAGCTCTCCATTTCTAGAATTTTGCCACTTCAAGGATGTTGTATGAATGCAATCATACAGTATGTAACCTCTGAGGATTGGCTGTTTTTCCACTTGTAATTCCCCAGAGATTCATCTGAGGTGTCCGTGTATCAATTGCTCATTTCTTTACTGCTGAGTAGGACTGCATGGTATGGGTGGACCACAGTCTGTTTAACCGTCATCCATGGAAGGACCTCTGTGCTGTTTCCACTTTGGGGTTACTCTGAATAAGGCTTCTATGAACATTTTATGTACAGGTTTTTGTGTGAACATAAACTTTCATTTTTCTAGGATAAATGGTCAGGAGTGTGCATGTTTCTTTTTAATGAATTGCCATATTTTATAATCAGGATATTTCACCTCAAAAAAAAATCCATGTTCCTAATTTCTCATCAATAATCACAATATCTGGAAAGATGGGGCACAGCAACTCATGATCCTAATGGGCCAGAGCACTCCAGTCCCCTAATGCCCTGCCTAGTCCCTTTTATTTACCTGCCTGGCGAGGCTCCTGGTTTACAAATTTAAGCGGGCAGAATTGGAACACAATTAGTTTTATATATATACATGTCTACAATTTCTCTGCTCAAGCAGAAAACACTGGTTGCCTATGGGGAAGGGTATCCGGTTATGGGACAGTGAGAGCAGTCACTGTTACTATGAGCCCTTTGGGGCCTTTTTAGTTTAAACCATCTGACTCTTTTAGTTTGAACCATCTGACTGTATTACCTACTCAAAAATGAATAAAATGTGAAAACAAGAACACTAAAATTTCCTCACAGATACCCCCTCTGGTGCTGCTTTTCCCATACCAACTCTTCTTTTTATTCAGAGAAGAGAACCTATTGGAATTTCCCCTCCCAGAGTACCTGGTTCTACACAGGAAAAACTCTCTAGCTCTGGTATCTAATTTCCCCTAATGCACACATTCCCTGGTCTGGGATCTTAAGGGTTTGACCCCAAAACACACCTCATCACCATCCAAAAGCCGGATGACCCCTGGGGGGCAAACACAGACACATGTGTGCCTCTGAATCCCAGTAAGGTATCTATGTCCAGCCCAGGGGCCACCTCCTCCAAGAAGCCTTCCCAGCCTGACTGAAATTCAGGGTCTCCTTCCTTGTCCTGCAGTGGCATTAATGTGTGCCTTTCTGGTTACAATTCAGTGCACACTTCCTGAACCTTTTACAAGAGCCGGGCTGGTGCACCCTCGCCCCACCCCTTTCCTGACCTCCCACTAGACTGCCCCCTACCCCCCCCCCCCCCCGCCCCGCAATAGATGAACATTTTAGAGGCACTGGTGCACTTTGTGTCCTCTGAACTCACCGCTCATGTAGCTCGTGCAAGTCGTGACAAAGACATCTACAAACCACAGAGCACAGAATGTAGACTGAGTTTAAGAGCTAAGATTTCTGCATGCGGACGAATTCAGTGATGCTGAACAGAGGCGAGAGGGGATAGCGTGTGCCCCGGCAGCGTTGGTGCTCTAAATCCACCCCTTGGGTAACCCTCCCTAGGACTTACAGAAGACAGGAGGTGTAGCGCAGAAAATAGGGCTCTGGGATCTGAGAGCCCTAGCGCTGCCCTTCTTGTTGGGTGATCTTTGGGCCACTCTATCTGCTTCCTCCTGGAGAAATGGGGATCATAACTTCTCTCTGGCAAGGCTGTATGGAGGTTAAAGTGGGAGGAAGCACCCAGCCGGCCCTCAGTGCTTCCAGCAGGTCGCTGCCGATTACGGAACCCGGGTCCCTCTTCTGGAAAGTACGACCCGGACGAAGTGCACCTCGGCACTCCGCATCCCAGATTTCTGGGGTGCCTGTCCCTTTGCGTGTTGACGGTCAGTCTCTCCGACCGAGCTCACGGTCACGGTCACAGTCGCTCAGCGGCCTCGTTTGCGCGGCGCCCAGGCCCGGCCCAGTCGCCAGAGGCGCTGAACAGAGCCGAATGAATGACTGCACGAATGGCTGGAAGGCTCCGCACTGGCGCCCAGTAACAGCCAGAGCTTGAAACCACCGGGTACGAGCGTGTAGACCAGAAAACTGCGCAGTGATTCCCGCGAGGTCGAGGGGTGGCCGGCAGGCGCGCGAGGTCAGGCTGACCCCACGTGGGCGCGCGCCCTAGCCCTTCATTCCCCGCCTGACTGTGGCTCGGGCTCGGGCTCGGGCCCCGGCCCCATCCCCCACGTGGCCCGGGGCGCTTGCCCCACCTCATTACCCACCCCCTCCCCCGCTCGCACTGCGTGGCCGAGGGCGCGCGCGCTCCAGAGCCTCCCTCCGCCCGGCGTGGTCGAGGGCGCGCGGGCCCGGGCCGGGGGTGGGGTCGCCGCGGGCTCGGCCCCCTCAGTTCCCGCGCTCGGGCCCTGCCGGGACCCAGGAAGTGGCCCTAGGCCGCGGCCCTCGCTCCGCCTCCTCCCGCCCGCGTTTATCACCTGCTGGCCCGGCGCGCGCGGGCGGGGGAGGAGGGCCGAGGGGGAGCGCGCGGGCGGCCAGGCGCCGGGTCGCCGGAGGTGAAGCGCGGCGAGGATGGCGGCGCGGGCCCGGGGACTGCCGCCGCTGCTGCACGCGCTCTCGGTGCTGCTGGCGCTGGGCCCCATCGCCGCGGCGGCCAAGCTCAACATCCCCAAAGTGCTGCTGCCCTTCACGCGGGCCACGCGCGTGAACTTCACGCTGGAGGCCTCGGAGGGCTGCTACCGCTGGTGAGGCGCGCGGCCGACGCCGGGGGAGGGAGGGCCCTGGGGCCCAGGAGGCAGGCCGGCGGGAGCGCGCTGCAGGTGCGCCGGCGCGGGCAGAGCGCGGCCGCGGCTCGCGGGGCTGGTGCGGCGGGGCCTGCGGGCACGCGCGGCTTCCGGGCCGGGGCGGGCGCCGGGGGGAGGGGGGTGCCGGCGGGGCGGCCGGGCGCGCCCCCAGCAGGCCCGCGCGCAGCAGGTGCGCCGGCGCGCGCTCTCCGGGCACCCGGGCGGCGGCTAGGCGGTCACGGCCGTCCCGAGCGACTGGCCGCGCCGGACTCGGCGGCGTGCGCGCGGGTTGCCGCCACTGCGCATGGCGCCGCCTGGGCCTCCGCGCCGCTCGGGCTGGAAGGGAGCGGGGCCCGGCCGGCAGCTAACTGTCTGTTCGCGGTTTGTGCGCCAGGAGGGGCCCAAGAGTCGGCCTGACTTGAGGAAGGCGTCGAAGCTGTGGAGGGCCCCGGGGAGGCCCTACCAGGGAAGGGGGTCCTCAGGACTTCCCCTGTGGGGAGAGGAATGCACTGGAGCGCCTGGGCCAGGGATGGGGGTCCACGTGGTCTTACTTCCCCTTCTTGTCCAGGACTCCGGGGAGCGGGTCGTCAAGGCCCTGCAAAGCCCTAGTCTGGAGACGCAGGTTTCTTGATTTTGTCTAGTGATTGGAAACTCATCCCCGGCGCCGGACTGGTATGGGAATTGGGTTTGTGGAGAAGCCTGAAAGGCGTGTGTGGGAAGAATCATATCCGTTCAGCCTCTTTGGGAGGAACATAAACCTTTGATGAAAGGTCTTGCGGGGGGAAACCCTAGGGACCCATTTTACAGACGAAAAATGAAACGCAAGGAATGGTTGGTGATTCACCCCAGGTTGTCCAGGGTGGGGTCAGGCTTGTGCTCAAACCTCAGGCTTTTTTCGACAACTCCCCTCCTGGCTTCCTGGGGAACTCCGGAATTCTACATTCATTGTGGGGGGTGGGATCTTGGAAACCCCAGAAACTAATGAAACTAGAGGCCTCTGCTCCCCCTCTTTCCCCCTAGACAGACCTGGCTAGGTCCCTGGCTGGGCAGGGTGATGTGGTCCAGACCTGTCCAGCAGACCGAGAAGGACCGAGAAGAATGAAGCTTCTACTCTTGTCGGGTGGAGACAGCCCCCGGTGTGACTGAGGCCCCACCCACACCTCACAGCCCCACCTTGCTAGAGATGAAAGGAGGCTCTCTGGGCCCTGGGCATCCAGGAGACACTTCTGCCTCTCCCTTTCTTTCTTTTTTTTTTTTTTTTTAAAGATTTTATTTATTTATTTGACAGAGACACAGCGAGAGAGGGAACACAAGCAGGGGGAGCGGGAGAGGGAGAAGAAGGAGATGCTTAACGACTGAGCCACCCAGGCGCCCCTGCCTCTCCCTTTCTTTACCTGTTTGATGCCTGGGTCAGTGTTGAAGCTTACCAAGGTGTGATCGCTGTTACAGAGAATCATATGTGTGTGTGTGTTATGTTTTAAGTCTGTTTGCGTATCAGTGTGCGCATATATGCAAGGATGGTCCCCAGAGCTCAGAGGCACATTCTTCCTCAATAGTACTACCTGTAGCTATTTATTTTCGGAAAGTCAGCCTCCTGAAATAAGGCCATGCTATATCAGCCAATTGTATTTTGGGTTTAGTGCATTATGCACCTGGAGGGTCTTGTTCCTGGCTTGGTATCCGAGGCTGAGCTTCGGGCTTAATGTTTTCTGTATCCTTGACTAGGGCCTTGTCTTGTGTGGGAAGATGAGCTGTTAGTCCCTGCTTTCAGGAGATACGTGCTTGTTCTCTGGTTGAAGTTGTCTGTTCTTCTTGCTATATGGGCAAGAAAGAGGTTATTAAAAACAACTGGCTTCAAATGGATCCCTTTGGATATATTTGGATGCTACTTCCTTTGAGATTCTATAGCTGTACTTTTTTTTTTTCCTGAAGTAACCTTTTTTTTTTTTTCCAAGTACATTTTCTTTTCTGAGAGACTCTGGTGGTTTTTAATTTACTTGTATAGCTTCTTAGGAGGAAGGGGAAAAAAAAAACATTCCTAATCTCTTATGCATCAGAGAAGTGCTAAGTACCTTATAACTTGTTTTGTATCTGATCCATAATTTTTATTGCAAATGTGTGACTGCTTAGCTTAAGTGTCTCCTCAGAGGTGTTTTGTGGTTGTGATGTTCCCCTTAACTTCACAGGAAAATCTTCCATCAATCAAGCATTGAAAATACTTATTTTTAGTAGCGCTGTTCCTATTTGAGTCCTCTGTTGCTTTAGTTTTTGAAGAATCTCCTCTGGAGATTTTAAGAGTTGGCATGCAGACAAGCTGTATATCCGTAATTACCTAAACCTGGGAGGAAAATACCCTCTTCATTCAAGAAGTTCATTGTTAAGTCTGAGATTGAAAAAAAAAAAAAAATTAAAACTCTCCTGGACCTTGGGGGAATTTTTGCTCAATCCTTTGAATTTGGGGCCAGGCTCCAAGTTGACTGAAATCACTGCATGCCTCAGCCAGTGGCTCTAAGTTAACTTTTCCTGTTTCTTGATTTTATGGCATCAAATAATGGGACAGTTTTCGGGCCCTAGGAGCCCTAGAGATCATGTAGTGTAAACTGCCCACATTGTCCTCTGAGCCTCAGAGAAGGAAGGGCTCTGTGTGATGTCGCATAAATACAGGTGGCCCCCGACTAACGATGGCTCCACTTAAATTTTTCAACTTTACAATGGTACAAAGTGATAGTCATTCAGTAGGAACGGAACTTGGAGCTTTGAGTGTGGATCTTTGCCCAGACTGGCGACATGCAGTAGGACACCTTCCCGTGACGCTGGGCGGTGGCAGCCGCCGCAGCTCCAGGCCAGCCGCGTGATCACAGGGTCAGCCGCCGATACCCTTAGGACCACCCTGTACTCACTCAGCCTTCTGCTTCTCACTTTCAGCACGGTATCCAGTAAGTTACACGATCCACTCAGCACTTTGTTATCCAACAGATTTGTGTTAGAGGCTTCTGCCCAACTGCACGCTAACGTCACTGTTCCCAGCACGGTTAGTGTAGGCCAGGCTGCCACACTATGATGTTTGGTATGTTTGGTGTATTAAAGGCAATTTCGACTTGCAATATTTTCAACTTCAGATGGGTTTATCGGGGCCTAGCCCCATCATAGGTTGAGGAACATCTGTGGCGAAGTCTCTGAGTTGTGTGGGAGCCCACAGGGACACCCCCATTCCCACCCCATTCAGGGTCTTGCGGCCTCGGTTGTATTTGCTGGACACTGATTGAATCCTTCCAGTTGCATTGCTGGTTATGAGTTAAGTTTCTTATTCTTTCTTACTATTTTGTGTTTTTGAAAGTGTTCCATGAAGTATCTTTCATTAGGTCTTTTTTTTTTTTTTAAGATTTTATTTTTAAGTAATCAACATGAGGCTTAAAGTCACGACCGCGAAATCAAGAGTTGCGTGCTTCACCAACTGAGCTAGCCAGGTGCCCTAAATCTTTTTTTTTTTTTTTTTTAAGGTATCCTTTTATATACAAAATGACATTATATAGAAAATTGGGAAAGTAAAGAAAAAGAGAAATATACTGTAATCCTTCAACTGTAACACAGCCAGTCACCACTTGGGCTTCCTTCTAGTCACTAATTTTCCCCCTTGGAGCTCGTACCTGGTGTTTGGGCCACTCGGTACCCTCCTCTGTCAACCACCAGCTCACATTAAGACTCAAATATTTTTCTCCGGTGCTTCATTATCTTCCTAAGCTTTAGGTGTCTGAGCACCATTCTGCTTGGTAGCTGTTCCATCATCTGCTCATGCTTTTCCCTGTGGTTGAAGTCCCAGGGTGTTCTGGTTTCCCCAGTGGGCTGCCCTGTCTTGGAGAAAGTGAGTGTCTTAGGTTGGTACAGCCTGAGGTGAGGATTTGGTTGTGGGTGCTTTATTTGAGAGGGTGCTCTCCTGGGAGGCAGGATAGGGAAGAGAAAGGAGATGAGCAAGGATGGGGTCCCAGAGAAAGTCAGTGTGACCCTTGGGACCCTGTGGAGTTGAATTCCACTTCAGGTCCACCTCCTTGAGGTAAGGGGGAGAGCAAGCTTTTGAGCTTTTCTGTCACCCGTGATCAGCCAGCCATTGGCTGCTGCCGGGGAAAGGGGGTGTTGTGCAACCTCCCTGGCCTCCGGGTGAGGCAGGCTTCTTGGCCGGGGGTGTCTGACTGGACAAGGTTCTATTCGTACACCATGAGCTGCCGCGCTGCCCCCTGCTGAGGGGAGGCGCATCAGCCTGGTAAAGGGCATCCCATGGCCCCCACTAAACTGCTGTGCCCAGAATTCTCCCCCTTTCCTGTTCCGGAAAGTCTCCCCCGGGGCACTCTGGAGCTGCCTGGTGTGTCTGCCAGGCTTGGTCCTGAAGCAGGGTGCCCTTCTCAGCCACGGGTATGAGGATTCTTGGGGAGGCAAATGGGAGCCCTTCCGGCTGCATGGGTCCCCACACAGTGGAACTTGTCCTTGGTGTGTGTTGTGTCCCACACACCTCCACTCCCCCTCGGGAATCTGTGGGCATGAAAGAGCCAACAGTCCCTCTGTCCTTGCTGACCTGTAGTGGTGCGAGTTCCAAGGCCAGCAGCACCTCCGGGGGCCTCTCTGCCCGCCCCCCGCGGAAGGAAGCAGCCGGTCCCATTGCAGCCTGGGGAAAGTGGGAGAGAAAGGGTGAGGGAGAGGGTTTCCTCTGGCTCTTCCGAAACCCACTCTACGCACTGCGCTGAGCTGGAAAGTCATCCAGCCCAGCTGCCTTCTGCTGAGCTCCCACTCAGCCTGCAGGACGGAGGCTGGTCACATGTGGGTAGCTGGACAGGTGAGGAGGCAGGAGAACCCAGGGGAAACTGGAGAATTAGGCACTAACATTAAAATAAAAAATTTACAGTGTGAAAGCTTAACCCAAAAAGTGGGTTTCATTCGGCCAGAGGCCCACCAGTGCTCGCTGTGAAGAA